TGAAATGGTTAAAAAAAAAGTTTAAAAATGGCAGGATATTTATAAGGTGAGTAGACAGGTGCGATTTTTAAATACGGCCGCGTGTATGGTATTTTTTGGGACTATTGTCCCCATCTTTCTCGCCAAATTTATTACAAGATTTCGGCTGTTGTACGTTCCGGCCTTCATCAGGTGGTTGGAATGTCGAACTGAACCCTTTATTGCGCTCACTGGGGTAGAATATTCTAGTTCTACGTGCCATGTCTAATGGATGTCAGTTATCAGTTATCTCCTGTTAATACCTATCTCCAAGCTCTCCACCGCCTCAACAGGTATAGAACTCTCACTCTTTGTGTCCTGTCACTGGATCTAACGCCTTTATCCACTGTGACATTTGTCCTTGAAGAAGACCGGAGCGTACAACGGCCAAAACGTTGTAATGAATATGGTGACACAGATGAGGACAATAGTCCGAATACTGTAAATAGTGTACATAATACCTAATCTCAGAAATATAGACAGATCCTTGAAAAAGGTTTGAATCCTATTCTTCTCCCCCAGCTATGGGTAAATAGCAGGACAGACGGGGTTCTATAGCCTTGGAGGACAACTGTTCTACGGCAGAAAGAAATGGCAAACTAATTTGGAAAAAAATCTGCCTCTTCAGTCATTTATCGAAAGATACATGATCGCCTAAGCGTGTATCACACATGGCATATAACTAACTCACTCTATCTTAAATTGTACAGGGTCTACCTTTATAGGAAAAATTGTCCTTGTTTTGGTGTGAGGAGACCAACGTTAATGTTTATAAAAGTTTTTATAATACACCTATATATATATATATATATATATATATATATATATATATATATATATATATATATATATATAGGAATTCCTTGATTAGTTTTCGCTAATGTGTACATTAAAAGATACGCACTAATCAAAAAACGCATTAATCGGATATAATGACTTAAAACATATCATGATATTGGTACCTCAAATTTTTGTTTCATTCACAAGCAATTTTTACTTTGCGTACCTTTTTAAATAAATTATAAGTACAAATACCTAGATACAATAAAATGCTCTTGTTAATCTGATTTTTTATGAAAATTATTTTAAGTGGTTATTTTTCTGTTCTTCATGTAATTAGCGGTAATGAGAAAATGCCCCTCCATATTTTTCAAAATTATATTTAAACTATTTCTTTTTGCTTTATATTTCGATATTTTTTAATGAATGTAAATTCCTGTATTTAATGACATCCTACAATATATTTAACAAAAAAAACAGAAATTTTCTTTTTAAGGCCTTCAAAATAAACATGAAAAATATCAAAATATTCACAAAAATTATAACTGAAACAAATATTCAAATATGTATTTTATTATCGGCTTATATTATAAAATTTATATATCTATAACTGTCCATCATTTGAACACTACTGTAATTATTCATGTAACATAATAGTTGACAAACAAGATACAAACACATAATACTTGACAAAAAAAATACCCATTTTCCGTATCTGTCTATATTTCTGAGATGAGGAATTATGTACATTATTTACATTACTCGGATTAACGTCCTCATCTTTGTCGAAATATTTATTATAACGTTTCCGCCGTTGTACGCTCCGGCCTTGGACACATGTCACAGTGGATAAAGGCTTTGTTTAGATCCAGTGACAGGACGCAAAGTTTGACTGTTCAATACACGGTTAAGGCATTGGAGAAATTTCAGAGGGAAATTAACAGGAGATAACTGATAACTGACATCCATTAAACATAGCCCGTAGAACAGTCTACCGCAGCGAGCGAAATAAAGTGTTTAGTTCGACATTCCAAGCACATGAAGAAGGCCAAAGCGTACAACGGCCGAAACTTTGTAATAAATATGGCGACAAAGATGGGTACAATAGTCCGAATAATGTAAATAATACCCATTTTCATCTTTTTAATTTT